AGTTGCTAAGGGCCTCTCTGAGTTACTGAGGCTGGCCTCAAAGTTGTCATCCTTTTGCCTCAGCCTCCTAAAATAGTAGGATTAGAGGCATGCGCCACCACTCTCAGCTTTTTTTCTTTTTTCTTTTTGCAGTACTGAGGGTAGGACCCAGGAATGTTCTACCACTGACCTCCATCTCTAGCCCTTTTTATTTTTTGAGACAGGGATCTTGCTAAGGTGTCCAGGCTGGTGTTGAAAATTGTGAATCTTCTGCCTCAGCCTCTTAAGTCTCTGGGATTACTGGTGTGTGTCACTGCATCTGGCCCACCAATATATTCCTAAAATAGCTAATTTGAGCCTACAGTCATTGATCCCAGACCTCTTAGCCTCCTGTTCTTCTCCTACCATAACACTAAAGCCACATTTATGTCTAGGCATTTGTCAAGCGCTCCTCGGTGTCAGCCTGTGCTGGGAGTGTGAGGCACATGAAGGAGGCTGCCAAGGCTGTTGCTCTCAAGCTCTTACATTCTACTGAAGAAGGAAGAAACAATCAATTAAACAAAAATGCAATTTTAGATCATAACAAATGTTAAGGAAAAGACAGGGCAAAGCGGGAGTGGCTGCTCTAAATAGGGAGGCCTGAATCAAGGAAGCTTGTGGTGCTGGTAGTCTTGTTCATGGTGGTCTTAGCACCAGGGTGGTGCCTTGAACATGTTACACATATAAATATGGCTGGGGGGTGCTGGGGATGTGGCTCAAGCGGTAGCGCGCTTGCCTGGCATGCGTGCGGCCCGGGTTCGATCCTCAGTACCACATACCAACAAAGATGTTGTGTCTGCCGAGAACTAAAAAATAAATATTAAAAATTCTCTCTCTCAATCTCCCACTCTCTCTCCTCTCTCACTCTCTTTAATAAATAAATAAATAAATAAATAAATAAATAAATAAATAAGGCTGGGGCAGATGAAGAAGTGAGTCTGGACCTCAGCAGTACTTAGGATAAGAATGGTGCTGACTGGGCTGGGGTTGTGGCTCAGTGGTGGAATGCTTACCTACCATGCATAAGGTACTGGGTTCGATCCTCGGCACCACATAAAAATAAAATAAAGATATTGTATCCACCTAAAACTAAAAAAAATAAATATATATAAAAGAAGAATGTTGCCTAATGAAAGTTTGGAATGGGTGGGCTGGGGATATAGCTCAGTTGGTAGAGTGCTTGCCTTGCATGCACAAGGCCCTGAATTCAGTCCCCAGCAACAGCCCCCCACCACCAAAAAAAAAAAAAAAAAATATATATATATATATATATTGGAATGGGCTGGACAGTAGGACAGCAGTATTCTCAACTGTTCCTTTTATATTGAGGGAAATTAAGGAAAAAATCAAGGAGATTAAGTGACCAATACCAGATTTTGCAGTGAGTTGGTGCTGGAGCCATACTAGGCCCAGAAATGCTGTTATCTGTAGACCATATTTTCTTCTTTTCCATTTTCCAATGGAAATCTTCTCTTCCATTGTCAAAGGGCTTCTGTGATAAGAAACCTCAGAGATGTTCTTTGAGTCATAACTAAGCATCAACGCTCAATAGGGCTCTTGAACAAAATGTTCTTTTTCTTTACCCTTTTATTCTCATATTCGTTTTCTTTCACTACCACAATAAAATCCCAGGATTTATCTGCAAACTAGTTTATTACAACCTTCCTAAGTAATCTTCTTAACCTTGCTGATAYCTGCAATGTGTGTCAAAAGCTTTCCTTTCCCCTCTGCATTGAGCAGATTATCTCCTGCAGTTTACTTCTTCCCAACTTTCTTCATTTTTCTATTTTCTGATTCAAGCCCTCTCCTCAGTCACTTATTCACCACTTACTAAATGCTAAGTACTTGTATACCAGGTTTACATAGGCCAGAAGAACATTGTCCCTATCCTTGAAGAGCTCACAGTCCATGGTCTGCTTCATAAATGGATCATTATAGTATTACAGAGAAAGTGCAATGTCAGAGACGCACAGGGTATTAATGAAGTCAGGAAACACCTAATGTAGCCTGGGAAATAGAAAGACCTCCTTAGAGAAGATGACTCTAAATTAACCATTATAGGTGAGCAGAGGGGACCAAGCACAGTGGACAACATGAGTAAAGGCACAGAGAACAGAAATAGTCTGTATTATGTAATTTGGTCTTGTTGGAGCAGAATGGGAGATAAAGCTGGAAAGTCCCTGTAGGGTTAGGCTACCACAGCCCTGTCTATGTAAATCTAGCAAGCTGAATGCCATATAGGCAACATGGAGCCAGTGCAGAGGTATTTAATCTGGAGAACAAAACTGTTAGACTTGTAGTTTAGATAAATATTCTGTCTGATAATAAATCTGTAGGGACAAAAGAAAGACACTGAGATCAGGCAGTAGGTTTTTCAGTGATTCAGATGCAAAGACTAGACATGAGCAATGAAGGAGAGATCAAAAAGAAAGACTGGCTGGCCATGATGGGGCATGCCTATAATCTCTGCAATCTGGGATACTGAGGTGGGAGGATTACAAGTTTGAGACCAGACTCAAGAAAACTTACTCAGATTTTAACAAACAAACAATAACAACAACAACAATATAAACCCCCAAACAAAAACAAAACAAAAAACAACCACAACTTGGGATGTAGCTCAGTAGTAAAGTGTCCCTGGGTCTAAATCCCATTTCCCTACCCCACCCCACCCTAGAAGAAGAAAGATCAGATTCAAGAAAACAAAGAACATACATGGTCATGGAATTCAGGAATGAGGAGGTAGGAGCAATTTCTCACATGGTTGACTGGTGGGATGACAGTCAACAACAGGAGAGAGAATAAATAAAAAGGACCAGAGGTATAACACCAAGGATAGAGCAGGTATAAACTATAGACTGTGGGTGTAGGCAAATGGATAGAAACAGTGTATTATTCCAGTGTGGGGTATTACTAGTGGGAGAGACTGTTGGTGTGGAGTGTTTGTTCTCTCTCTCTCTTTTTGGTACTAGGGATTGAACCCAGCCAGGGTCTTGCATATGTTAGTAAGCAATCTACCACTGAGTTACATCCTCAATCCCTCTAGTTTTTCTTAAAGGAGGCAAAAGTTTATGAGGCAGCTGGGAACAGTGGCTCATGCCTGTAATCCCAGTGGCTCGGGAGGCTGAGGCAGGAGGATTGCAAATTCAAAGTCAGTCTCAACAATTTAGGGAGGCCCTAAGCAATTTAGTGAGACCTTATCTCAAAATAAAAAAACAAAAAGGGTTGGGGATGTGGCTAAGTGGTTAAGTTCCCCTGAATTAAAAAAAAAAAAAAAGTTTATGAGGCAGATAAAAGGAGAGATGCCTTTGCAGTGAGGAAAGGAGAATAAAAGGCACAGAACCATGGATATGCACCTCTGGAATTATCAGTGGAAGGTTCCAGGTCAATCCTGGATAGGTTTATGTGGATTCTGGTGGTTCCATGGCAAGCAAAGCTTTTCTGGGTCATATTTCTTTGTTCCTGTCTTTGGAGTGCAGGTGTGCTCACCTTCTGGATATTCCAGATTGTTGTATAAATCAGATAGCTAGAATGTTTCTTTCGCCAAGGAGACAAATGTATGCCAAACATTGACTAAATGTTCTATTTGTGACCCAAGTGTGTTCATGGGCCTGCACTGGCACACTGACATCTGAACCCCTACAGCAGCTTTTGGCTAGGGTTCTGGGTCAGAATTTTCTGGGAAGAAATCAATCCAGCTTGCTCTGTCCCACTGTGTTCTCACCAGGACCTTTTCTTTTTATTGGGGGGAGGGGTTATCAGAGATTGACCTAGTGATTTGTACACACTAAGTGCTCTACCACTGAGCTACCTCCTCTTTTTATTTTGAGACAGGGTCTTGCTAAATTGCCCCATGTTGGTCTCAAAATTATGATCCTCCTGCCTCTGCCTCCTGAGTAGCTGGGATAACTAACTTGCATCACTATGCCTGGCCTACAGCCCTTTTTAAAATTTTATTTTCAGACAAAGTCCAAACTTCCCAGGCTGGCCTAGAACTTGCTATCCTCCTGCCTCAGCCTCGTGGGAAGATGGGATAACAGGAGTGGGCCACTGCACCTGACCCCATCGGGGATTTTATTCTTGGTAAAAGAGTATGATTCAGTGGTACCTAGGTGTGTGTCTTCACAAGCTCTACAGGTGATGGGAGAACTTGTGCCTGTTAGGGTTTCAGTCTGTCTTGTATAGCACTTCCCAACTGCTGTGGTTTGAATGTGTCCCCCAAAAGTCCCTGTGTTAGAAACTTAATTCTCCAGTTCATATCTTAATGATATTTGGAAGTAGAATCTTTAGGAGGTAATTAGAATTAGATGAGGTCAATAGGATGGGACCCCCATGATGGCATTAGAAGAGAGACCTGAGAGCATACTCACTCTATCTTAACCTGTGATGACCTCTACCACGTTATGATGGGGCAAAAAGTCCTCACCAGATGCCAACACCATGCTCTCGGAATTCCCAGCCTCCAGAATTATATGCAAATAAACTTATATCACCTATAATCTACCCACCCTTGGCATTTTGTTTATAGCAAACAAAATGGATATTGGGGATTCTTGATGGCACCAAAAGTTGTCTTTTATCATAGGCCATGGTTTTCTTCCTAACAATAATTAATGATCTTACTGTTTATTTTTCTGTAGAGAAATTACTACTAACTGACATCATGATCATCTATTTAGATGTTTATTTAGTTATCCATTTCCCCCCTCTAGATTGTAAATGTCCTGAAGGGGAAGATTTTATTTGGTTTACTGTTGTATTCTCAATACCTAATACAGTGCCTGGAATATAACAGGCACTCACTCAAAGATACAATTATTGTTAAGTAAATCTAATTCTACTTACTAATGACTATTACTTAATAGGAAATGTTCCTCAGCTTGAAATGTAATGAGCCTCTTTTTATCTTTCAAATATAAACAAACACCAAACACCAAATAGAAATGCATAAAACTATATGGCATGTATAAAAATCTACCTACCTTAGCATAGTTTAATCTTCCTTTTTCTTGAGCCTAAAATAGAAAATAATTTGTTAGTTCTTTAAAAATTATTTAGTGTTTTATAACTTTTGTTTATCAAAGAATAAAAGTCAACTCTTTCTCCTTTCTCCATCTCCTCTACTCAATGTATACATACATTGATCATATACACACACATATTGAGTGATCTCTCTCTAATATGTGTATATCATATTATGTTCTAATATATATGATATATATTATACATATATACATACACACATACATTTCAAACATAAAGCAAAGTTGAAAGAACAGTTCAAGGAGCACATAAGAACTCCATTAGGATTTGACAGGTGCAGACACCATAACTCTTTACCCCTACACGCTACAGCACATATCTTGTATGCACAGGACAGCTCATACATAATCACATGATAGACCACTATCTGATTCAAAAACTAACAAAATGTCATATCATCTACCATGCAATCCATATTCAAATTCCCTAATGGTTCCAGGAATATCTTTCGTATCTTTTCTCCCCACAAAACAGAATAAATCAAGATTGACCCATTAGATCTGTTTTCTATGTCTCCTTTGGCCTTTTAAATTGGACTAGTGCCCCCCACCCCTTTTCATGAAATGAAAATAAAAGCCATTAACTTCTTTTCATGATTTTTTGAGGATACCAGATGACTGTATTTAAAATTTCTTGGGCTGGGGATGTGGCTCAAGCAGTAGCGTGCTCGCCTGGCATGCGTGCGGCCCGGGTTCGATCCTCTGCACCACATACCAACAAAGATGTTGTGTCCGCCGAGAACTAAAAAATAAATATTAAAAAAATTCTCTCTCTCTCTCTCTCTCTCCCCCCTCTCTCTCCTCTCTCACTCTCTCTTTAAAAAAAAAAAATAAAATTTCTCTTAAAATTCGTGTTATTTTATCTTTATTGTGTTATTTAATTTCCCTGTTTTGCTTGTAAACTGAATAGTTGGTTCTGGGGAAGCTTGCTCAGATTTAGGTTAAACATTTGTGGCAAGAACACTTTGTGGAATATTACATACTTCATTAGTTCAGATGGCAGAAAATGTCAGGTGGTCCCACTCTTGGTACTGCTATTAATTTGATCATTTGGTTAACACAACTATCAGATCACTCTGTAGACAGATCTCCAAGTCCTATTCAATTTGTAAGTAATCTGTGGGGTCAATTGTTTCTCACATGTCTTGGTGTAATTTTTCTTACATTGCTGTGGGTTGAAAGATCCCCACCAATCCACCCACTCATATTAAGGATGAGGATAGGAAAGAAAAGAGGAGGTATTGGCTGGGGGTGTAGTTTAGTGCATGAAGCCTTGGGTCTGACTGCCAGCCCCAGAGGCACGGGGGTGGGGTGAGGAAGGAGGTGAAAGAGATATTCTGTGTGAGGTCAAATTTGACTTAAGAATATTTTTAGTTGTTATTGAATAATACATACAAATGTGTAATATTTCAAATCTTAATAGAGACAACAATGTATTAACCTTTGCTGGCAGGTCAAATTGTGTTTTGCAGACTTCAGAATAAAACTTCTATCACCTCTACACAGAACAAGAGCACTTCACCTTTATAAACAGGTTAGATATTAGAACCACTTTGTTCCTGAGTCCAAAATTACATTATCCCAGTAATTAAAGTAGGCAGAATATCCCTTGAGAGAAAAGGAAATGTTTATTACATTGTCTGACATTTCTTGCTTCTTTATAACCTTTTGAAAATTTATCCACAGATGCCTACAATGTTTTTCTTCTTTCAGAATAAGAAACTGTAGTTAGCCACTGCTCACCCACAGCTATTGGCACCACCACAAACACTCTGAAATTTTGATTTGAACATTTCAATGAGACAGAGAGTCTCAAAATCAATATATTATTTACAAAAGGGTTCAGAGTCATCAGTCTGCTCTTCAAAGATTTTTAGGGATATAGAGTTTCTAGTGGACTGAAAAGAGTCTGAACTTAGTATTGAGATGTATCACAACATAGGAAGGAATCCATTCTTACCAAAATTTTAAAACCAGGCTATTCTTTTCTGCTCAGATATTTTCTATTTGTCTATAGGCATCGTTTCCCAGAATGAAGTTGTTTTGCCTATACTGAAAACCTCCTCCCTCACCATGGAAACTTCTGAAGCCAGGAGTAGCCCAGAACATATCTGTAGGCCCTGCTTAGGACCTAGTCACTCACTTTGATATTGTGCAAACATGTACTAGCCTTGATCCTATGAATAATCCATGGATTGCTTGTGACCAAAATTCAGCAACAGCACTTCTGCAACATGCTTGGTTTTTAAGTCAGGCACTACTGAGGCTCTAGAGATGTAGTCAAAAACAGAAGAGAAGAAATCCCTGTCCTCATGGAGCTTATATTCTAGAGTGTTGCACAATATTATTTTAATTATTTGCATTATTTTATATTTTAGATAGGCTTCAAAGAAATCTTTCTCTAGAACTTAAGCTTCATGAAAGCAGGAAAATTTTTTGTCTTATTTACACTACCTCATGTTGAGATCAGTATCTGAATGACTGAATGCCTAGATGAATGTCTTTTCTTCATATGTTTCACTTATTTAACTGTCTATTCAGGAAACTTATGAAGCAAAATTCATTTCACTCACACTACTCATAGGAAAGCTAGACATTATGGTTTAAAGGGATGATACAGCTAATGTGGAGCTGTTAGCCAATACCTTACAAATAACTTTGCCCATATTGAATAAAGAATATTTTCTAAGCTTCCAACTATAGAAAATCACTTTGAATATTCTATGAAAAGTGAACAATGAAAGGACAAGACAGAGAAGAACAATTTAGCAGCTTTAGCATAATTCAGTGCTTGCTCTGGGACAGCCTCGAGATGCAATAAGAAGGGCCTAGAATGGAAGTCAGGAAACCTCCAGGAGGACTTCAGGATGTACCCCTCCAAGCTCAGGCAGTAAGACCTTGTCTTCTGAGAAAAGTAAGTGCCTAAGATCTTAATTGTGACCACTCCAAGAGGCACTGTGACCTCCATGGAAGAGGAACATGGTAGGGGCCAGAAGATACATTTTCTAGGCCTTAATTGGATTAATTTTTTTTGGTGCGTGTGTGGTGCTGGGGATGAACCCAGGGCCTTGTGCACGTGAGGCAAGCACTCTACCAACAGAGCTATATCCCCAGCCCTTTAATTTTTTTTTTTTTTTAAACGGGTCTGCATTTCTTTGTTTATAAAGTAAGAGTTCCAGATCAGACCAGAAGTTCCCAAGTGCTGGGCTCTCTCCACACTGGACTAGCTGTCTTGGAATCACCTGGGCAGTTTGTGAAAAATGCAGATTCCCAAACTCCTATCCATGGGATTCTGACTTGTCTGAGGATCATTGGTCTGGTCACTATCTAATGTCCTTTCCAACTTACGTTTCTATATGCATCAGTGTTGACTTCAAAGGCTAAAAGAGAACAACTATATAAACTCCTTAAGTGTCAAGGAGAATGTAGTACTGTAACTCCCCCACCCCCTTTCTGACATCTGCCACTTATCATGTATATTTCTAGCAGAGCAAGATAGTATTAAAATAACTTTCTTACTGGGACCCAAAATAGGCTGATATAAAATAAATGCAGACTGTATTCCAACAGCAGCAGCCCTGTACCTCTTCCTGCTACACTGTTCGACTCCAGAAGCCACTGTAAATTCTACCTTACACAGCAATTCCCCGAGGGCTTCATTACGAAGGTCTTTAAAAGGGATTCACTCATCTCTTTGCCTCCTGTAGGTGTGCTTCTCGTCAATCCAGGTCATGAGAAAAGAAAGTAAATTTTCCCAGTCTTTAGCAGTTCACAGAGAATGTGTGGTTTGAACCTTGTTTTATCTTTAAAAAATGTGCGAATAGACAAGGGAGCATGCCAGTGCTATGACACTGGAGGCCTCCTCAGACAGCCATGGCGAGCGCTGTAAAACAATGTTCCCTACAAAAGCAAAAAAGGGCCAGCACTCTGATTGAGAGGATACACAAAGGGATTAATTCCAAAGGTTTATATGCCGGGCTCTGCAGACCAAAAGCAGACAGATTCCCTGTTGGTAAGTAATGGATGTACAATGTGGTCTTTTACTTTAAGAAACAAATGCTTTTTTATAAGTCAGGTAACAAAGAAGGATTGGATGACATAAATGAACTGTTTCCAATTTCCAACTACTATTATCTGGACTTGAAAGTTGGATATGGGTACACCTTTTTCTAAATGCAGAAAACTAATATTCGAACAGCAGGGAGTCCAGAAATTGCTAGAGGCTGATCATTTCTACTTATTAGGTTATTCTTCCCAAATGTTACCAGCTAAATTTTGGATTAAGTCACTTTTAAGGATTTTCTTTTTAAACTCCAAGGCAAACTACTTCCCTTCCCCCAACTTTTTAGTTGAAGGAATAAAATGAACAGCCATTTGCCCTCCACCTAGRTTTACTGGTTGCTAACATTTTATCATCCATCTCTCTTTAGATAGGACAATTTGTTATTTAAGAGTAAATTGAAGACATCATCATGATCATCCCTAAATACTCTATGAGAACAAGATATATTCCTACATAATAATGTCAACAAGCCCATTATCACAYCTGACAAGTTTGCCCTTTATCATAATATTATTTGAAATGCAATTCATATTCACATTTCTAAATTGAACCAGTAGGGGTTAGGGTTGTGGCTCAGTGGTAGAGTACTTGCCTAGCATGCATGAGGCACTGGGTTCCATCTCTGGCACCATATAAAAATAAACAAATAAAATAAAGGTATTGTGTCCATCTACAACAACCAAAAAATATTAAAAAAATAAATAAATTGAACCAATAGTGTCCTGTGGAACTGTTCTGATCCCAAATGAAGACTGAATTAAAAATCATACATTGCCTCTGGATATCATGTTTTTAACCCTTTCTATTCTAGAATAGCCCTCATACCATTACCTTTTTGTTTTTCATAATGCTGACATTTTTAGAAGGAGTCCGGGTCAGTTGTCTTTTTTCTCCTGATGAGATTCAGGTT